AGGAATGCCAACAGAAAACCTGAGTGTCAGTTTAGAGGGAAAGAAAATGATAAGCTTTGACCAACTAGCTGGATCCATATTTGGATTCCCAGATGTGAAACTGAGTTGTCAAAAGGAGAGTGGCGGGCAACGCTCCCTCTAAGCTGTGGAGTCTTGTGAGCAGAAATTCCACTTTGTGAGCTACTGGCATTAAAGTTGTGAGCGAGCGATTGGGCTACTGCATAAATTAGTTTGCTCTGCAGCCATGCCTCCTGAGCTAAGACAAAAATGTGTGAGCCGTAGGCTAAAAAACTGTGAGCTGGCTCACACTAACTCAGCTTAGAGGGAACACTGGTGGGGGCGGTGGTTTAGATCAGGGCTGCGATGCTGGGGGTCCCAAGCTGGAAATGGGCCCCCGGGCTTCTTTTAAGTGTGGTAAGGAAGAAGACAGGTGCCTGTACTATACCCATCTTTTTCCTTCTCGGAACTAGAAGTAGCCAGAGGGAAAGGCGTTGCCAGTTGCTCTAGGGCAGGGGTGGCCAAACTTGCTTAACATAAGAGCCACATAGAATAAATGTCAGACGTCTGAGAGCCACAAGGCACGAACAGATATCACACACACATTTTTTATTTTAAAAAATACAAATTTGCTTTTTGTTAACCTTAAAGGAGATTGCCAAAAATACAAACAGAAGGGGTAAAAACAGATATCGATAATGATATTAATTTGTCCAATGATATTTATTTGCCTGAGAAAAAGAGAGAGAAAGAGACAGGTGGAAAGAAAGAATGGAAGAGGTGGAAAGAAAGAGAGAGAAACAAAGAAAGCAAATAGACAGACGAGAGGGAGAAAAAGCATGCCTCCCATTCACTTCCCCAGCCGCCCTGCCGGGAGCCGCACAATATGTGTGAAAGAGCCACATGTGGCTCCCGAGCCGCAGTTTGGCCACCCCTGCTCTGGGGGAGAGTTCAGTCCCTCTTTCTCCAGTGCAACGTCCCTGGCAGTGCGGTAGGGAAGAGTGGGAATTGTCGCCGCCTCTTTCATATGCAGAAATTCCATGAAGCCGCCTTATACTGTGTCAGACCCTCATTCCATCACTTGGCCCTTTCTGCACTCTCCTTTTAATCCATGCTCAACGCGGTGTCTAAAATCAGATTCAACCTTCTTTTCAATCCAGGTTCCCCCCACCCCCGAGTTCTGCATTAAAACCAAACCCAACCTTCTTTTTATTCCATTCCCCCACACACACACATTCTGCATTACATCACCTCCCTTCAGTGGTCAGCCTGGTTTCAGCCTGCTGTTGCCGCAGTTTTTTTTGGATGCTGTTTTGCTGCGATCTTATATCATCTTGACTCAAACACTGAGAAAATCTGGAGTGGCAGGCAAATGCAGAAAGGACCATAGCCAGTATTGTCTATTGAGCTCTCCAGGGTCTCAGGCAGAGGTATTTCTCATCAGCTACTGCCAAATCCTTTGACTGGAGATACCGGGGATTGAACCTGGGACCTTCTGCAGGCCAAGCAGATATTCTATCACTGAGCTAAAAGCACATCTGTTCCTCGTTCTATCAGAGGAACTGTGTTCTTGGATACAAGCTATTCAGTTAATGGTATTAATACTACTAATGCTGCATTTTTAGGTAATTATACTTCTGAGGGAGACTTACTCTTGAATTCTGCTTCCTTTCTAGCACAGTCATCCTTTGACTTTCTCTACAAACGATATACATCTATCAGTTTGGTTGAGATGGAATCAAGTAATGGTAGGTAAAGACATTTGTTTTATCCACCTTTCACCCTTCCAAGGGCATGTAATAAAAGCCCTTTTACCATCGTCTTTTTTTTTTTTGGAATGATGAAAACACATTGGCAATCTATATATCTAATACCGAAGTAGCCCCCTCTGTGCGGATATCTAAATCAGCACAGAGGGGGCACTTGGGGGGGAGGGAGAGTTTTGTGCACACGTGGGGCGGTCCCCAGGTGTGCACAAAAATCTAAAAAGTTTTTTAAAAATCGGGAGGATACTTAAATCCCCCCAAAAGTGACAGAGCGTCCCCTGCGCATGCGCAGGGAACGCTCTGTAGCTGGCCTCGCCGCCGCCGCCACCGCCGAGCCGGGGGAGGACTGGCCTCGCCGCCACCGCCGCCTCGGGAAGATCGAGGGGGGGATGGAGGAGACGGAGCTCTTCTCTCCCCCCCCCCGCGAGCAACACGGGTCCCTTTACGGGGGGGAGGACTGGCCTCGCCGCTGCCTCAGGGAGATCGAGCGGGGGGGATGGAGGAGACAGAGCTCTTCTCCCCCCCCCGCGAGTATCGCGGGTCTCCTTACTTGTATTTTACTAATGTGCATTTCTTCTTTACTGTCAGAAAGTGGTCCTGAGCACTTAGCTGGATTAACAAAGCGCTTGTTTAGAGGAGGTAAGCTGATCTTTTCAAATGTAACAGATTATTCTTGAAAAAGTCAAAATGGCCGATGTACCCCACTCCAATATTCAGAGAAAACAGTCTCTCTCCATTAGGGATGGGCATGAACTGGGAAAACGTGGTTCGGTTTGTGGCATGCCTGGGTCATGAACCATGAACTGCCGCAAACCTTTAGCCACCAAATGAACTGGTTCAGTTCGCGTGAGGTTTGTGATGAGGTAGAACAGGGCCCCCCCTCATGCTAGAGACAGCAAATTTGCAAAGGATTTTTGGCTGACTCTCCTCTACCTGCCCTCCAAGTTTGTTGAGGATTGGATTTATGGGGTCTGAGTTACGCATCCCCCCCAAAAGAAGGTGCCCCCAGAAAAATGCTTTCCAGGGAAAAGACAGGCAGTCATTTTGACAGGTGCAGGTTCAGGAGTGTTTAGAACTAATCCTGTGCAAGCTAGAGACATCAAAGTTGCAGGGGACTTTCTAGCTCAGCCACAGAGGTGTTCGTATGAAGGGGTTAAATGCTGTTCACCAAAAATACCTTAAAGGCGCAGGGGAAAAGGTGCCCCGAATAAGTGGCTTGGCAGTGAAGTCCAATCGAAGGAGTCTTGGTGCTCTGTAGCTTCCACTTGATACTTCAGCAGAAGACCAATCAGAATGTATACTTAGTGGGTTATTGTGTATTTGTATCTATGACCCATATTTGCTTGCTTACTCATAGGAAGAACTACAAAAAAGTGCTCTAAATCAGGGGTGGCCAAATTTGCCCAACGTATGAGCCACATAGAATAAACATCAGATGTCTGAAAGCCTCAAGACATGAACCAATATTCACGTTTTTACTGGGAAATATGCAAATTTGCCTTTTATTAACATTAAATGAGACTGCCAAAAATAAAAACAAAAGGGGTAAAAACAGATATTGGTAATGATATTTATTTGTCCAATGATATTTGTTTGCTAATGATATTTGTCTAAGAGAGAGAGAAATAGAGAGAGAGGTGGAAAGAAAGAATGAAAGAGGTGGAAAGAAAGAAAGAGAAAGAGGAATTTCAGACAGGCAATATATTCCGGAAGAGGAACGGTTCCCAAATGGTTTCTGGTCTGTCATTTCAGACAGAACCGTTTGAGAACCAGTTCCCTTCCAGAATATATTTGTCATTTCATACACAATCGCGTCTGTTCCATTTAGGAAATGGGGCTGAAGCATTTTACCTGTCAACCGCTTCCAAGTACTCCTCAGTGTCCTCTCCCGGTTCCGATGCACTTTTTCCCACCGTTTTTCGCCCGCGCGGGCGATCTCCGGCTTTTTTTTTAACGTTTGCTTTATAGCATTAGAGTGCTATAGCGCTATAATGGAATAGCATTATATCAATCCCATTGGAATGCATGGAGTGTTTTGTTATACTGCTATAGCGGTATAGCGCCCTAAAGCGAATGTTCAAAAAAAAAGCCGGACATCGCCCGCATAGGCGAAAAACAGCGGGGGGAAAGCGGTGCAGTCTGATCACTTCAAAACGGATCATTACCGGCTTGAAACCGGGTGAAACTGGGTAATGTGAAATTCCCCCAAGAGAGAGAAACAAAGAAAGCAAATAAATGGGAGGGAGGGAGGGAGGGAGGGAGGGCATGTCTCCACTTCCCCAGCTGCCCTGCTGGGAGCCACCCAATATGTGTGATAGAGCCGCATGTGGCTCCTGAGCCACAGTTTGGCCACCCCTGCTCTCGATCAATGCACTTACATCTTTTCTTTCTTTTCTACATAGGGATGCCGATGATCTATCAGGCGCCATTAACCATACAAGACTCCTTTAGGTTTGGCAAGGACTTTCCTCTTCTTGAACTTTCTGTTGTGATTTGGGGGAGCACTGCTTTAAAAAGGCTTCTGAGAGATAACATGCCTATGTTACCCAAACTGCAGGGGATGGACACATGTCAGCATCCCCACAGGAATGGTTCCCAGAACTGGATTCCTGGAGAATCTTTTAATCTTTGGGCTAGCTCAGTGGGTGGTGTGAAGGGGGCCAAAGAGAATCTTTGTCTAGGAGACCGTGGTGGTTCTGGGCCAGCCCGGTCCACACCCCTCTTTGATGTCCACATAAGACCCACCCCCACAAACCTGCTCTGGCTTGAGACGTTAGTGGAGCAGAAGAATTAAGAACAAGGAGGCTGCTCCTTGTCACACCTCGTTTGGCCTTGAGAGGCCATCATTTCTCAACCAGCCAAACCTCATAGCTGTTGTGCCAGAGGCCATTTTCTTGCCTGAGGCAAAGGTTCTTTCTAGTGGATTTGGGTGGTCAAAGAATGCTCAACAAGGAAAGGGACTGTGGTACAGAAACACTTTAACTGCAGGACATAAATCGAACAGTTTGAAGAAGATCCTCATGTATGTTCAGTTGTGGGGGGGGCTTCTTCAGGGGTCATTTTGTAGAAAAAGAGGTGCAGGAGCTCATTAGCATAACTCATTAGCATAACTTATTTGCATATGCCACACCCCCTGACCTCACCGGAAGTATGTCAGAAGGCAACACCCACCGCTCAGGCTCCACTGGACTGTTTTTGATTGCTAGCTATTGTGGGGGGGGGGGGACATGCAGATCTGTCCTCGTAGAGGAGGGAGAGCTTGTACCTGAATAAAACTTGGTCTTAAAGGTGCCACTGGACTGTTTGGGTCCAGGGGGCTGGGGGGGAGCTTCTGCAACTTACCTGTTTCCTTCTTGCTCTGACTGAGGGCTGCTGGGAGCAGGGGGTGGGGCTTGTTGCATGTGCCCGCCCCCTGGGCTCTTTACTGCCGGAGCTCTGCTCCTGTGCGCTCCTGCAGGAAACGACCCCTGCTCACAGCTACAGTTTCCAGCAGCCCCCATGAAGCCCAACTGCTGCTGTTTCCAATGAAGCCCAACTGCTGAGAGCCAGCATGATGTAGTAGTTAAGAGTAGCAGACTCTAATCTTGAGAACTGTGTTTGATTCCCCACTCCTCCACATGCAGCCAGCTGAGAGACCTTGTTCTCTCACAGCTGTTCTCTCAAGAGCAGTTCTCTCGGAGCTCTCTCAGCCCCACCTATCTCACAGGGTGTCTGTTGTGGGGAGAGGAAGGGAAGGAGATTGTAAGCCACTCTGAGTGAAGGGCAGAGTATAAATCCAATTCTTATTCTTATTCTTCTCTTCCTGTTTTTATACCTTCTTAGGTACAGCCTCCTAGCACAAGTCCCTCCTGGCAGGCATACTGAGTCAGGTTCCAGTACTTGTGCCTGGCTTCCCCTTATTAGGAAGGGAAATTGATCCTTCAGCTACTTGGATGCCCTAAGCTCAGATAAGGTTCCCTGACACCACCATTTCCTACTCTTCGAGGATTTCTTCTGCAATGGCACTACAATAGCTGATTTGGTCCTTGGTCTCCTCCGTCAATTCCTACATGCTAATCCCCTGGTTTCCCCCCCATAAACTAAAGAAATCTCCAGAAACTGTCCTGTAGACCCTAGTGTTTTCTAAGATGATGATGTTCTTGCTGTGCATGTTACGAGCATCAGAAGAACATAAGAGAAACCATGTTGGATTAGGCCAATGGCCCATCCAGTCCAACACTTCATGTCACACAGAGGAGGAGGAGGAGGAGGAGGAGATTGGATTTATATCCCATCCTTCACTACCCGAAGGAGTCCCAGAGTGGCTTACAATCTCCTTTCCCTTCCCCACAACAGACATCCTGTGGGGTAGGTGGGTCTGAGGGTCTGAGAGAGCTCTCCTAAGAACCGTCCTCGAGAGAACAGCTCTGAAAGAATTTATGACTGACCCAAGGTCACACCAGCAGCTGCATGTGGAGGAGTGGGGAATCAAACCCGGTCCTCCCAGAGTAGAGTCCACGCGCCTAACCGCTACACCAAAATGTCCAGAACCCAGGTGCCATCAGGAAGTCCTTTTATAAATAAAAGGCTAATTTTTTTTTTTTTAAGGAGGTGCACCAGCAGGGCCAGAACTCCAGAAACGACCCCACTATCGCACTCCGAGCACCAAGAATACAAAGTCTCACTGCCCCAGACCAGAGTGTCCCATGTTGGGGTGAGAGACGAAGCTTGGACTGGGAGGCACTGGCCCTTCTCCTCTCTCCCTCTCTCCTTTCTGACAGGGCGACAGAAGAAGAAAGGACATTTCTCTACAGGCTGGATGAAATCATCTGGTTTCTTGAGTACGGTGTGAGGAAGGTCAAGACCAGGGGCTCCTGCAGTTGTGAAGAGACCGTGGACTCTGTCGTCGTGCCCTTGTCGCATCACTGCATGGCTCTGGGGGACAACGTCCGCGCCTTTTATTACTTGCTGGAATGTGCAGCTGCTTACGTACACATCTCCAACAACTACATGGTAAGCGGGGGGCACCTTCACCCATCAGGCGTGTAACCAGTGTTCCCTCTAAGCTGAGTTAGTGTGAGCCAGCTCACAGTTTTTCAGCCTCCGACTCATACATTTCTGTCTCCGCTCAGGAAGGAGGGCTCCAGAGCCAACCGATTTATGCAGCAGCCCAATCGCTCGCTCACACCTTTAATGCCAGCAGCTCACAAAGTAGAATTTTTGCTCACAAGACTCCACAGCTTAGAGGGAACATTGCATGTAACCCCTCTTAATCTCCCCCTTCCCGTGTTGTTGAGGTGCAGCCTGGATTCAGGTATCTTAAACAAGTGGGGTTTTTTTTTAGATTTATCTTCTGTGGACAGTTGTAAAGCACCTGGATGGCCCAGGCTAGCCTGATCTCATCAGATCTTGGAAGCTGTTAAGTCCGTGCTTAACAATAATAGTCAGAGAGTGATTCAGCAAAACTCAAGTTTATTCAGCTCTTCAATCGACTTCTTCTGACACGGTACAACTCCTCATAGCCCGAACAGCTTGTCCATTTCAGCTGCTCGGTATTTAAACATTCCGGCTAATGTAGCCACACCTACTGTACATTAAACCAACCTATCAGGTTGTGCGCATGAACGACCAATCATAAGCGGTCCCGCTTACATACATTCAAATCTGATTGGCCACAATACATTTTGGCGCGAATCCCTGCCGAAGCTGAAGCTTTGCATGGCTTCTCTATGGGAGGATTCACATACCTCCTGGTGCATTCAGGGCAGCATCTGAATACACTACAGAAGCTTAGACGGGTCGGTCCTGGCCAGGCCCTTAGCCACGGTGGTGAAAAAAGGGGCGGTGCCCCACCGTTCGAAGCCTTGAGTTAGTGGTTTACAGAGAAAAGAAGGCTGAATTTACAGCTCCGGGTCTCAGTAACTGGAAGAAGGCTCTCACACTTCTTTAATTCTGCAAATTATGTAAAACAGTTGCTCAAGAGGGCATTTTTATAAAGCTTATACACAGGGCTATTTTTGGGCAGGAACGCACAGGAACGGAGTTCCGGCTGGCTTCAGAGTTGGCCACGTCCACTACAGCCAAAGCCTCTGCGTGTGTGGCTACAGAGGGAAGGCCTGGAGAGTGACTCACACACCCCGGCGACTCCAAGGCGGGTGGGCCAGGGGGGGCTCTGGAAGGATCAGGGAAGCATTTAAATGCTTCCCTGTGCCTTCCCCAGCCTGTCCAAGGGCTGGCTTGCCCAGGCTCCCCGTAGCCACGGGGCACCCAGGCAAGCCAAGGGAAGGCAGATAAAACTGCCTTCCCTTCAAGGGAGGGCTTGCTCGGGCTCCCTGCAGCCGTGTGGTGCCTGGGCAAACCAAAGGAAGGCATGGGGTGTGGCCTAATATGCTAATGAGTTTCTGCTGTTGGATGTGGTCTATTAGCCCTGCTTATACAGAACAGGACTATAGTCTGTGCCATAGTACACGCTATATATTACTGATTTGTTGTACGTTCTATCATGCTCTTGCCAGTATACGCTATATATTACTGATTTGTTGTACGTTCTATCATGCTCTTGCAGCATTGTTTTCATTTATTTTTTTTGTAACTCCATTTTCTGCATTGCTTGACAGAGCATGTTTGATACTTCTTTTTTTTTGCATTTTTGTAATTTTTGTATGCCAAATCTTATCGCATTTTTATTAGCCCTCTCATGCTGTTTGGTTACAGTCTTCTGTACCATGTAATCCACTTTAAGTCTCAAGTAGAAAACTGGTCAATAACTAATAAGGTATAAATAATGAATAAATAATGATAGGCCGACCACCACTGTACTCATTTGCCACCCCCCAATAAAAAAAAATTGGCTACAGACCTGGTCCTGATGTCAGACAAAGTTACTCTCAACAACACTCTCTGGCAGTGATTTGTTTATTGATGAATAAAGATATTCCAAGCTGAGACCAGTACAATGTCAGAACTGAGGTTCTGGCAGCAAAATCACCAATTATAGACAGGTCAAACCAGCCCCCCCCCCTTGTGTCCCGTCCAATCATTCCGCACAATCATCCCGCCTAGTTTTCGTGCACTCTACACCCCCACCTGTGAATGTACTGTTATTTTTCTCTAAGACAGCAATGCAAGCACAGTCATCTCCAAGGTCATCCCTGCATAGGAAGGTATCTTAGGAAGAGTTACATCGCCACTACAACAGAGCCATTCACATACTCCCTAACTCACACCCCTCCCTCAGGAATTTCCCTCCCTCTGCAGGCCTCAAGTCCCCAAAACATAGCAAACGACAGTTTGAGTTTGACATCTGGGGCGATATCTCACTAGAGCTGCCTCGCAGCACAGCGCCGTTTGCCCCAACACAAACATGTCAATTTCACACCCGAGGCTGCAGGGCTGCATTTTGAGTCGGGGCTTCGCCCGATTTCCTCCGCAGTTTCGTGATCCTGGTTTTTGAGGATCATGAAACTGCGGAGGAAATCGGGCGAAGCCCCAAGTCAAATGCAGCCCCGCAGCCTCAGGTGTGAAATCGACATGTTTGTGTTGGGGCAAACGGTGCTGTGCTGCGAGGCAGCTCTAGTGAGAAATCGCCCCTGGTTAATAAGATCAGGATTGCTACACAGAACCAGGCAATGGTAAACCACCTCTATTTGTCTCCTGCCTTGAAAGTCTCCTGGGTGGGCCATCACTTGGCTGAGACTTGACGGTAATTTCCACCACCAAAGCTGAACAAGTTTGGCTGCCAATTAAATGGGGTGTTGGCTCGAATACTGCTTTTGTTTTCAGCTCCTGTCATACAAGCAAGAAGCCTGGGCCGTTTTGTAAGATGAACACCTTAAATGAATTAACAGGCTTTGCATTAGGCTCTGCCTGTAGAAACCACTGTTGGGGAGAAGGGGTGCATGTGAAGAGTTATTTCTCGCCTAAACTGTTGCCTTGCCTTCTCGAGCCTTGCCCAATCATGTCCGAAACTGACAACAGCATCAGTAGAATAGTCACCATCTTGTCCTTGCCTCCTATGATGTCTTGCCAATCCGTTAATAGAAAGAACTACATCTTATCTGGGTTTAATCCAAAGTAACATGTGGGAGAGCAGAGTTCAAAAGATCTCTGGCGCAGCGTTGTGATTGAAAAGTTACAAAGTAAGTTGTTTCGGGAAATCAGAACGACAACGACAACAAAACGCTTCTACAAAAATAGCAAAAGCGTAAAGAGCAACAAAAGGTAGATGGTCCCACATTGCGACGGCCAAACCAAGCACTGATCCATTATAGTCAGGTCTTTCGCTTAAGTCATCGGCAAGATGGCGGCAGGTGCACAGTGACTCAAACAAAGAAATGAGAAGCCGAATATTCAGCTCAGCCCAGGCTTAGCCAGCATCACCTGAAACCTGGTGCCAGAACTGGAAAAGCTACCAGCTATAGAACCAATTGCCCTGACCTGGATAGCCCAGGCTAGCCCGATCTCACCTGAACTTGGAAGCTCAGCAGGGTTGGCCCTGGTCAGTATTTGGGAGGGAGACCACCAAGGAAGTCCAGGGTCGCTACACAGAAGCAGACAGTGGCAAACCACCTCTGACTGTCTGTGGTCTTGGAAACCTCATGGGAGTCAGCCAGGGCTCTTTTTGTAGAAAAAGCCCAGCAGGAACTCATTAGCATAATAGGCCACACCCAACAGCAGACACTCATTAGCATATTAGGCCACACCCCTGACTGCACCACTCATTAGCATATTAAGTTGCATTCCCATGCTACCAGAGGTGTGGTTATCCAGCCACACCCACCTTTCCCTTCTTATTCTGTTTACCTTGTTTGTTGTCAAACCAGGGCTTTTTTTGTAGCAGGAACTCCTTTGCATGTTAGACCACACACCCCTAAATGTAGCCAATCCTAATGAGTTTCTGCTGTTGGGTGTGGCCTATTATGCTAATGAGTTCCTACTGGGCGTGGCCAACTCAGGAGCCAGCTGGAACTCCGTTCCTGTGTGTTCCTGCCCAAAAATAGCCCTGGGAGTCACCATAAGTCTGCTGTGACTTGACAGCGAAAAAAGAACCAGTTCCTACTTAAATCTTCCAATGGGATGATGCTTAAAGCTCCTAACACTGCTAGGTACTGCAGGAAAATAAAAATAAAATATGTTCTGCCCTAAGGTTTACAATATAAAGGGTTTGATTGGCTTTCCCAATCAAAATGGGCAGCCAGGGCTTTTGCCAGAAGAAACAGAGAATCAAACACTAGCCGTTCTCCATAAAATATGCCAATATGGCCTTCAAACCGTGCAAAGAAATAAAAATGGAAGGGCACCTTGATGGTACTGGGAATTAGGGTTGCCAGCTCTAAACTGGGAAATTCCTGGAGATTTGAGGTTGGCGTCTGGGGAGGGTAGAGTTTGTGGAGGGACCTCAGCAGGGTCTAATGCTATCGGGTCCATTCTCCAAAGCAGCCAACGTCTCCCGGGGAACTGATCTGTGGGGATCAGTTGTAATTCCAGGAGATCTCCAGGCCCCACCTGAAGGTTGGCAACACGGCCAGGAATCCACATCTCACTGCCTGGGCTGGAGCAGGAAATTCAGCAAGCACTGCTATGTGCAGGCATCTCAACAGATACACTGGTGGCGAGGGGGGATTTTTTTTCAGTTTAGAATGAGCTGGTCAAATTTCCAGCACCAAGTCCAGCCAATAGAGGCCTTTTTTTTTGTCATAACACTGAACCGAGAGGTTCTGCCCCCGTGCCCCAACCCACTGAGCTCTGTTCTCTCTCTCTCTCTCTCTCTCTCTCTCTCTCTCTCTCTCTCACACACACACACACACACACACACACACACACAGGATCAATCCCTAGATGCCCCTTGTGCTCTACCAACAACCATAATTGTTAAATTTGATGAATTCATTTAGGGATGCCAGCCTCCAGGTAGGACCTGGGGATCCCCCGGGATTACAGCTCATCTCCAGAGATCAGTTCCCCTGGAGAAAATGGATGCTTTGGAGAGTGAACTCCATGGCAGGGGTGTCGAACTCATTTGTTATGAGGGCCAGATCTGCCATAAGTGAGAACTCGTTGGGCCAGGCCACGTGTGTCATAAAATGTAATGCCAGGTAGCGAAGATATAAACTTTAGGACACAAACACAAAGAGTATTTTTACTTAAAATGAAAACATGCTTAAAACATTAGCACTCTTGCAATATTTTGTTTAACTGTGTCTGATGACTGACACCTCTTGCTCTGAATTATTGCATCAAAATGTCTGTGCCGTTGCAATCTCGAGTGTGCTGTGCAGGTGTGTATCTGTAAGCTACAAACCTACAATGACGCAGCAGCAGCAGAACTGGAAGAAGAAGCAGAAGACAGCCAGTTCCACTGTGGGCCTGATAGAAGCCCTTTGGGGGCCTGATCTGGCCCCTGGGCTGCATGTTTGACACCCCTGCTCTATGGCATTGTACTCCACTGATGTCCCCATCCTCTCAGGATCCATACCCAAATCTCTAGGAGTTTCCTAACTTGGATCTGGCAACCCTACAACCCCCACATCCCCTGTCGGTGGCCAGGGGGGACATGGCAACCCTGTCTAGTGTGGGGTGCAAAGAAAGTAACAAAAAAGGGAAATGATCTGTTCTGTGCTGTTCTCGTTTGAGGCCTTTACGTATCTGAATACAGCCGAGAGCCTGTTAAAATCCTTGGACTCCAAGCAGAGAATCATTATCCCCTTTGAGAAGTCCGTTTTGTGCAGTCTCAAGGCTGAGGTAAGAAGACATCGTCTCGATTTCATGTTGTGCGGGCGGGGCCGTCTGGGTACCTCTAGGCACTGTTTCCTTCTCTGCTGAGCCTGTCATGCAGTGGAAAGTAAAACCAACCACCACCACCCTAAAAAAAATATGGGCCACGTGGCCTCCTCTCTGCCAGAAGCAACGCTCGTACAAATTCTGGCATTGGCTGGGTAAGCAGGGGCCGCAGACCAGAGGATTCTGGGACGCTGCTGGAGAAGGACCAGAGGGTGGAAATAGGGTCGCCCACCTGCAGGTGGCACCTGGAGATCTCCCACTATTACAATTGACCTCCAGACAACCAAGTTCAGTTCCCCTGGAGAAAATGGCTGCTTTGCGGGGGAAGGCTCCATGGCTTTATAGCCTGCTGAGGCCCCTCCCCTCCTCAGGCTGAACCCCCACAGTCTCCAGGTATTTCCCAACCCAGAGCTGGCAACCCTAGGTGGAAATTAGGTGTGGGGATGTTAGATACGAGACTCGAGGCAGCAGGTGAACAGTCATAACAGCTTTACTGAACACGAAGTCAGAAGAACCAGAACGAGACATACAATGGAGCAACAGGCTCCTTTTTAAACAGTCCGGGCTTGGCAAGCCACGCCCACATGTCAGATAATGTCCAATCAGAAACTGTACATAAAGACCGATCACTTTGCTTTCCTCCAGAACGTCCTTTGTTCTGATAGGTGGGTTTACAATGCCTTTGTCAGACTCAAGCTCAATACAATATACATTTCATTTCATACACAACAATCCTCCCCCCTAAGACGAGACAACCCTTGAACAGATATAGTCTTTCAAATAAGAGGACACTGCTTGACCCATTGGGATCGTCTTAACCATTAGTGGGGTAGTAGGAAGAGCTTCGGGCTCCCTGTGAGTGAGCTCGGTTTGATTCCTTAGGGGACTGACTGTCCGTGGCCGATTCCCATAGTCGTGGCTCTGCTCGCCCTCAACTATGCCTGGGGGTTCCAGTCTGTTCGGGGTCCGGAGACCCTACCTGACTGTCCGAGTCAGGTACATCGGCCACCTGGGGAAAGGAATCAGGGACTGAGTCAGCCCACCGTTTGCGCAACTGATCCACATGGCGCTTCATCACTCTACCATCATTTACCTTCACAGTGTAATGGTGGGACCCTAGGACATGGGTTACTGTGGCTGGTAACCATTTGTGCCCGCTACCGTAGTTCCTCGCATACACACATTCACCTTCACAAAACACCCTGGGTTGTTCAGTGGACTCACTGTTTGGCGGCCTGGCGGAGGTTAAGTCCGGGTGCATATGGTCTAACAGTTTGGTTAGGCGTCGACCCATTAGCAACTCCGCCAGACTCCGCCCCATCACGGAGTTTGGCGTGATGTGTTGGTGAAGGAGGAAGGACGCCACCTTCTGGCCCCAGTTTCCTTGTACCAAATGGCCCAAAGTCTCCTTTGTGGTCTGCACCATTCTTTCGGCTTGCCTGTTGGTTGGTTGCCGGGTGGAATGGTGCAGACATGCTATGGGCAATGAGGTTTGCCGCCAAAACTCCTTAAATTCAGTGGCTGTGAAGCATGTCCCGTTGTCAGACACCAGTGTGTCTGGCAACCCATGCGTAGCAAACAGGCGACGTAATACATTTATCACAGTTAGTGCTGTCATCTTTGTTGTGGGGACCACTTCGAGCCACTTAGAATAAGTGTCCACACTAATTAAAAAGTTCTGCCCCTGAAAGGGGCCCACAAAATCCACATGCACCCTGGACCAGGGGCGGTGACACTTTTCCCACTGGGTCACTAGTGCATGTGGGGGATCAGGCCGGGACAACTGGCATTCCCCACATTTCTGGACCCAGGACTCTATGTCTGCATCGATTTTCGGCCACTAGAAATACCCTCTGGCCAGTCCCTTCATGCGTACGATGTCGGGGTGGCATTTGTGCAGAGCCTCTAATAGTTGGTCCCTTAGTTTGGGGGGAACCACCACCCTGTTGCCCCAGAGTAAACATCCCCAGTGCACAGACAGTTCATTTTGCCGTGATGCAAACGGCTTAAAACAGTCATCGGCGCACCCCACCGGCCACCCCCTCCACACCCAGATAAGAACCCTGGCGGTGATGGGGTCCCGGGAGGAGGCGGTCGTAGTGTCCAAGGCATGCACCGGAGGTTTGGCCAGTTCCTTGAGGGCCATCACCTCAAAAGCTGGTGCAGGGTCAATGTCCAGTTCTTGTAATGGGCAGCGGCTGAGGGCATCGGCATGCCCCATGTTTTTTCCAGGCCGGTGCTCGAGGACATAATTGTATGCTGACAAAAAATACCGTCCAGCGCAACATCCGCACAGACAGGATGTTGGACATCTGGCAGTCTGGTGCAAAGATCTCAAGGAGGGGCTTGTGGTCCATGTCCATTATGAATGGTCTGCCGTACAAAAAGTCGTGGAACTTTTTTACGCCAGTCACTAGCGCCAACCCCTCCTTATCGATTTGGGCATAGTTCCTCTTGGCCGGGGTGTCTGAGAGTAGTAGGCAATTGGTGCTTCCCTGCCGTTAGCCAGCACATGGCTCAACACAGGCCCCGCCCCATATGGAGACACGTCCACAGCCAATACCAGTTGCTTGGTTTCGTCATAGTGGGTAAGGACTGCATCGGATGACAACAATGATTTAATAGCGATAAAAGCTCGGTCGTGCTGAGGGCCCCACTTCCACTTTGCCCCCTTGTTGAGGAGGCGATGCAAAGGTTCAGCTATTGAAGCTTTATGTGGCAGGAATGCACGATAAAAGTTCAAAATCCCTAAGAAGGATTGCAGTTCCTTCTTAGAGTTAGGCTTCGGGGCGTTTTGAATGGCCTGTACCTTTCCTTCAGTAGGGTGGACACCATTAGTGTTGATTTGGAACCCCAAGAACTCCACACTGGGTACTCTCAAATGACACCTGGCCCTCTTTACTTTCAACCCAGCCTCTTGGAATCGACATAAAACGGACCTGAGGCGTTCTGCCAGTTCATCCTCGGACCGGCCGGAAATCAACACGTCGTCGAAATAGGGGACCACCCCTGGCAGGTCCCTTAACAAACCCTCCATTAGGCCTTGGAATATGCCTGGGGCCACGTTTACACCAAACTGCAAGCGATTCACCTTGAACGCACCCCAGTGCATGACAATGGTTTGCGCCATGGCAGCCTGGGGGTCTACTGGCAGCTGTTGATAAGCCTGAGCCAGATCTAATTTGGCGAAGACCTTACCCTCCCCTAATGATGCCAGCACATGACTAATTACGGGGACTGGGTAACAGTGCTGCTGCAGAACCTTGTTGAGTGTACATTTGTAATCAGCACATATTCGGATAGACTCGTCAGGCTTTACCAGTGTCATGATAGGGGTCTCCCATTTTGAGTGTGATACCTGTTCAAGCACACCTTGAGCCATGAGCTTGTCCAGCTCAGACTCTATACGCGGTTTCAGATAAATTGGTACCTTGCGATACTTAAGCCGTATAGGCGCTACAGCAGGATCTAGGTCAAACGTTACAGGTGGCCCCCTATACATTCCCAGAGTACCATCAAAAACATCTGCAAATTCCACATACAGCAAATTCAATTTATTTGCATTAACTTGGTTAATACCACATATTGCAATTCCAAGGGCCTCAAACCAGTCTAAGACTGGCTCGGCGCCCCTCGGCAACAAGGAGACTCAGAGACTCCTTGAACCCTTTGAATTGTACCTCAAATGTGGATTCGCCGGCCACATTGATGCGCCTTCCCTGAAAATCGGAAAGGTGGATGGTGCTCGGCTGCAAACGCTGACGGCTCCATTGCGGAAACAAACGTTGCAAGGTTTCAGACGATCCCGAGTCAACCTCCATCAAACTGCTAGGAGATCGGGTGGGCAGGGTCCTCTGGCTGCGGCTTGCAACTGGCAGGACCATCCCCACGTGGGGTGGGGCTTGGAGCCAGGACATCCCCAGTCTGACGTCGTCATGTTGGAGATGCCCCGCCCCCTCCAGGAACACCCCCCAAAGTCCCCTGCTGGGGACAACGATGGACCTGGCAACCCTAAGTCCTACCCCTGATTCCATGTACCCCTGATTCCATACATGCACCCATAATCCCATTACACAGAAAAAGAACACATATACTTACCTACTTTCTTCACACACAGAAACCTAGAAGATGGGAAGAGCAGGTCCATTGTTCTGTTTCTGAATGCAAAAACAGGCACCACTGAAATGGGTTATCTTTCTCAGATCTTAGTGGTAGGTGGGGTGCTAGGGTTGCAGTCCCCCAACAGAGGTGGGGGTGTACATGCTTTTGGGGGGCCCGATCTGGCCAGCGGGGGGAACCCCACCCCCCAAAAGCCCATCCACACCAATGTGCCTGGTGCAGTGATGTCACCCAGAGGTGACGTCTAAATGCAGAGCACGTTGCGGGGGATGCTCTATCATTTGAGGGAAAACTATGGTTACCATAGAGTTTTTCCTCAAATTATAGAGCATTCCCCCGCAACGTGCCCTGCATGGTGACATCACTTCTGGGTGACATCATTGAGGGGCACGCACAAAGTTCACACACCAATCATTGAGGTGGGCATCTCTGGTTCAGAAATCTCGGTCGTCCTACTGTGACTAAGTTGTGAATGACCGTAACAATGATCACTATTGGTTTCTCCTGCACTTGTCTCTGTAGGTCTCTTACAATATGGGTCAGCTTAATTTGGCAAAGAAACTGGTGAGGAAGGCTTTGCAGTTTTTGAACAGAAGCTTTCCAATGACCATTGTTGGAGCCTTTTTCATGTCCATGGTGGAAACGTCCAAACATAGGGCGCATCAGAAGAAGCAGACTTCTTGGGAAACACCCATCGGGTAGGATGCTGTGACAAACATTTTTAGAAAGGCTTGAAGTCACTTGCGTTCAAAGGGTTCTCATGGGCTACCTGGCCCCACCCCAGACCTCAGATGTTCTGTTTGTTTGGTCTTCCAGGGCTGGTTGGGCACTGTGTGAAACGGGATGCTGGCTTCGATCAACCACCTCGTGTGACCCAGCAGGGCTCTTATATTTTTATGGCCCTTGCCACACCGGGGTGGGGGGGACACAGGCAAAGTGCAGCTTTTTAAAGGCGCACCAAAAAACACACGCGGCGGCGGGATCACATAGACCCGCTGAGCTGCCGCGCACTTCCTCCCCAGCATGATCAGATGCCGGGGGAAGCCACTGAAGAGGGAGGGAGGCAGCCGAACTGCGCATGTGTGCGCATGTGCAGTTCGGCCGGGAGGCTGGATTGCTGCGGAGGACGAGCGTGCCGGTGATCCCACGGCCGCGCTTGCTGCGGTGCTCCAGGTAAGGCCTCCTCTGTATGAGGTTCTTTTTTACAGCGGGTTTTCCGGGTGTAGGGACGGATCGGGGACGGGTGCGCGCCGCTTCCCAGATGTTGTGGTGAGATCGTGCCATTTGCTGCACGCTCGTTTGCTGTGCCCCCAATCCGTCCCTCTCCCGGGCCAAAATCTCCCGTGTGACCAGGGCCTATGTATAGCTGTCTAGTCTCTATTGGAGAAAAACCCTTTTAGGGAATTCTGTCACTGCCCTCAGCACTGCAGCACATGCCTTTATGCAGCTGAACGGTTTTTTTTTAGTTACATACTTTATAACTGATATTTTACCCTGTGTGTCTTAGGGTGTGATCACACTGGCGGCTTAGTGCGATATGGCACTGCCTTTAATTGTACCGGTTTAAAATGTTGCAGGGCATATCATCCATCCAGCACACCCTGCTGCGAGTTAAATGCAGGTGGGCGCATATGTGTGCATGCATGAGCATATGTGCTCATGTGTGTGCATGCGTGAGCATATGTGCTCATGCGTGTGCATGCGTGGGCATATGTGCTCATATGTGTTCATGTGCTCATGTGCTCATGCACATCTAGGCAAAAGCTCCCAAAAAACACACCCCAGAGGCGGAAGCAGATCTGTGGGTTCAGACTGCCAGTCCATTTTGCATGCACTCTGCCGCATTGAGACATCCGGTCACACACAATGAATGCATGGGGAACTGAAAACACCACTTGTGATGTGGTGCCTTTTCCACCCAGCTCCGAGTCATCCTATGATGGGGTGAGTGTGCCTGGGGAACGCTTGACAGATGTACGACGGAGTCCATTTGATCCACAGGGGAGGGGTGGCTACGTCGGGCTAAACTGCTCGTGAGATCACACCCTTAGTGTTACTAACACCATTGTTTCTGTATTCCCTCCTTACCCACCCATACCTCACCAACCAATTCCACGTGATCCGTGCCAATGGTTGCAATTCCACTATGAAACAACGGTGAACTTTCGTGATACCTTTTGTAGCAGAGAGAAAAGACTGGCTATTCTGTATCAGCAGTGCCACTGCCTTTCTCTGCTGTGGCAGATCTTTAGCCTGGACCCTTCCACAAACAGTAAGAAGCTGGCCCACTTGGCGGCTCTCATGATGGTGAACTGCGCAGAGGAGTCCCACGACGAGTGCCAGGTATGTCCATCAGAGCCAAAGCACTTTTCCTCCTGACCTGGCAAGCTTGAGAGCCAGCTTGGTGTAGTGGTGAGGAGCAGCGGACTCTAATCCGGAGAACCAGGTTTGATTCTCCACTCTTCCTCCACATGAAGCCTGCTGGGTGACCTTGGCCCAGTCACAGTTCTCTTAAAGCTCTCTCAGCCCCACCTACCTCACAGGGTGTCCGTTGTGGGGAGAGGAAGGAAAGGTGATTGTAAGCTGCTCTGAGACTCCTTTGAGTAGTGAAGAGTGGGGTATAAAAACCAATCCTTCTTCTTCTTCTGTCTTGACATTGTGGGAGGGGAAGCACGTAACTGGTAATGTCTGGATGTTTTTAACACTGGATGGTTTCATATTAATTGGTAATCCGTTTCCACCAAGTCATATTCACAGTCAGGGTAGGTAAAGAATGGTCAAAGAGTAGGTTGGTTTCCTGGGGTCATTTCGTAGAAAAAGAGCTAGGGGAACTCATTAGCATAACTCATTAGCATATGCCACACCCCCTGACATCACTGGGAGTGTGTCATAAGGCCACACCCCCTGACATCACCGGAAGTGTGTCATAAGGCCACACACACACACCCAACGGTCCCGGCTGCCGCCGCTGGCCTTACAGCTCCACTGCCGAGCCCCATGAGGGGCCCAGCGGTGGACCTGCAAGGCCGGCGGGAGTGCAAGGAAGCCCCGCAAAGCCCCTCCCTGGCCCCAGGCAGGCAAGGGTGGGGAGAGGCAGGGAGGAAGCAACTTACCCTCCCTCTTCTCCTGCCTCCTCCTGGCTGAATGAGGGCCAGAAGCGGGGGGCGGGGCTTTGTCATGTGCCCCGCCCCCCGTACCTCACCCGGGGGAACTGTGATCCCCTGTGATCCCCCCCAAAATGACCTCTGTTGGTTTCCCTCTTTTCTAGTGCATGATTATCAGTCAGCAAGGTAAGAATTCTCATCTGCATTAATGACTGCAAATACAGCACCAAGGTCTTTCACTTGTTCCAAATTAAAATGGGCAAGTATACTGGTTTTTCACCTTGGTCCTATGATAGACACAGTAGTCCTGTTCACAAGTTATAATTTGTATACAATAGGGTTGCCAGGTCCCCTCGTCACTCTGGTGGGGGGCTTTGTGGGGCATTCGGTGTGTGGGTGGGGATGTTGCGTAACGTCCCCGATGCAATGACATCACCCAGAAGTGACATCATCGCATCGGTGACATCGCACGGGGACACTCCAATATTTAGGTGACTCTATGGGGGTTTTGCCCTCAAACCATAGAGCTTGCCCAAATCCCAGAGCATCCCCATGCGACGTCCCCGACACGATGATGTCACTTCCAGGTGACATCATTGCATCAAGGACATTGCACAGCTCTGTCCCTGATTAGGGGCAGGGTTTCCCCCACTGGCCAGCCGGTCCACGGTGAGGAGAAGTCCCTGAAACCAGGGGATCCCCGCCCAGACCTGGGGGCTGACAAGCCTAATGTACGATATACACGATTTTTCAGTATGCTTGATGGTGGTGAGAAGGGCCATCAAGTCACAGCCAACTTATAGCAGCCCCATAGTGTTTTCAAGACAAGAGATGAACAGAGGTGGCGGTTTGCCATTGCGTGCCTCTGCATAGCAGCCCTGGAATTCCTTGGGGTGAGCCAGTTTGGTGTCATGGTTAAGTGTGCAGACTCCAATCTGGGAGAACCGGGTTTGATTCCCCACTCCTCCACTTGCAGCTGTTGGATGACCTTGGGCAAGCCATAGTTCTGACAGGAGCTGTCCTTGAAAGGGCAGTTCTTGAAAGAGCTCTCTCAGCCCCACTTACCTCACAGGGTGTTTGTTCTGCGGAGGGGAAGGGAAAGGAGCTTGTAAGCTGCTCTGAGACTCCAAGTGGAGGTCAGGGTATAAACCCAATCTCTTCTTCATAGAATCATAGAATGTTCGAGTTGGAAGGGATCTTGCAGGTCATCTAGTCCAACCCCCTGCACTCTGCAGGCGCATACCCGAAAGATAACCCTACAACATACCCGAAAGATGGTCGTCCAGCCTCTGCTTGAAAATGTCCAGCAAAGGAGCATCCACCACCTCCCAAGGCAGTCTGTTCCACTGCTCAACCACTCTTACAGTTAGGAAGTTTCTCCTAATATTTAGCCGGTAACGACTCCCTTGTAATTTCCACCCATTAGATCTAGTCTTGCAATCCGGAGCAAGAGAGAATAGATCTGCTCCATCTTCTAAATGACAGCCCTTCAAATATTTGAAGATTGCAATCATGTCCCTTCTAAGCCTTCTCTTTCCCAGGCTAAACATACCCAACTCTTTCAGCCTTTCCTCATTAGACTTGGATTCCAACCCTCTCACCATTCTGGTTGCCCTCCTCTGGACATGCTCGAGCTTGTCAACATCCTTCCTAAAATGTGGTGCCCAAAACTGGCCTCCAGGTGAGGCCTGACCATAGCAGAATAGAGCGGGACTACTACCTCCCGTGATCCGGACACAATGCTTCTGTTAATGCATCCTAAGATTGCATTCGCTTTCTTCGCAGTCACATCGCACTGCTGGCTCATGTTTAGCTTGTGATCAACCAGAATACCAAGATCCCTTTCACATATGCTGCTGTCGAGCCAAGTCCCTCCCATTCTATATCTGTGCCTTTGATTTTTTTGTACCTAAGTGTAGGACTTTGCACTTATCTCCATTGAAATTCATTTTATTTGTCTCAGCCCACTGTTCCAGCCTATCTAGATCATTTTGAATCCTGACTCTGTCTTCTTCAGAATTAGCAATCCCACC